TAGAGCCTCGGTATGTCCGGTGGAAGTCAGGCTGGCTTGGGGACTCCTTCATCCAGGCAGTATGCACGACAGAAAATAACTCGCGTAAACCTCAGGGACTTCATCTTCTACATGGAACAGGAAAGAGAAACGAGCCATTCTCTCCTGCTCTATCGAGCTCTGCTTAAATAAAGCCAAGAATTGTACTGATTTTTCCATACAGAAGCTCAACTTGCATTGAAAAGCTGTCATTTTAATGTGCCTTCTATTTTTTTCAGAAGTCAATGTTCCAGTAATTTTGTTTTGTAAAATTGTCAGACACATGCAATAAATTCCCTTTATGTAAAAAAAAAAAAAAAAAATAAAAAAAAAATTATAAAAAACACAAAAAAATGTGCAAAAGGTTTTAAAACGTTAAATCTACAGATGTAACCAACATCCCAACATCAAAGTCTTGCTCCGTTGGGCCATTTTAGACAAGGCTGAAGTCAATGGCATTGAAGTTAGGCAGATGGGAAGACTGCTGCAACGGCTCACCTAAACCATCTCACGGCAAGGAGGACTGGGACAGGTTCACAGGATCGGGACCTAACCATGGTGTTAACCTGTATGTTTGCTTACGGTGCCGATTTTGTTTTCTTTTTAGTTTTACTAGCACTGTTTCCACTGACTAACCGTGGTGATACCTGTCGTTATTTTAGATTAGTTATAATTGCAATTTTTTGCACAGTTAAGAGATAGCCACTGCAAACTCTCACAAATTTTATATATTTAGGATTTTTGCTTTTACAGCACAGCTCATTTCCTGAGCCATTTGCTGAACCAAATCCTGAGTGTATGAAATCTGTGTGTTCGGGTCCCAGCTGAGCTACCTTGACTAACTTCCAGTTGTTTTCTAAATCTCTTCAACCTTTTGCACATTTGTAGCAGCTGATCAGTAACATGAATCAAAGTTGGGCTTTATTTTCTAAAAAAAAAAAATCTTAATTTATTTATTGCAGAGTATGGTTTAATGGTGGTTTTAAGAGAGAGTATTGTTCAGTAAAGATTGTAGAGTATTCTATATGGATTTTTAAAGTCACCATAAAGGACGTTTTTGGGGGCCAGTTCCACTCTTAGAGAGTCAGGAGTGCAGGGGTGAGCCCTGGCAGCCCGGCGCCGCCGGGATTGGCGATGCCTTTGCCTTGGACGATTGGACCCGAGGACTCCAGTCCGGAGAGGCTCATGAACAAGCGCATGACTTTAGGCATCATGAGTAGTTTTTAAGTACTTAACAGGGGGGATGAATGCTTTTTAAATGCTTTGCTGAATTGGAATTCAAGGGGCCCACACCAAAGGGAAGCAAAGTCATTGCAAGTCTTTTAAATGGGTATCGGATAGGAATACTGAGCAGGCAGGTGGGCACAAGTTGTTGTACTTCAAACCTAACAGTATTATCAGTAACCATGGAAGGGAGACATTTGCTTATTTATCTTTTCAATTTTTACTATGTTATGCTTGCCACTTTTTTGAGGCAATATTTTTTTTTTATGGGAAACCATAGCGAAAGCACAAATAGAACTATTTGTCCAATAGTTTTAAAAACAAAAGTTTTAATTATTTTTTAAGGTTTATGAAAAGCAGAAGAAAATTTATACTGCTGCTATTTAGCCAAAAGATTATTCATAAGGTATTTAAGGCCAGGAAGTGTAAAATTATGTTTTAAATGTATTGATCATTTGTACATATTGTTTATAAAGGCCTTGTGTTTATTAGAATTGCGTTATTTTGATGATTTCTGTACATACTCGTAAATACCCCCAATTTGTGTGAAAACATACTCCCTTATTTGTACTTATTTTGTAAAGAAATAAAACAATTTACTAAAGTAACACATCGAGTGACATACAGTATTAATTTATCAAACATGAATTTCACATTGTCTTGTAGTTCTTAAGCACTGTTCAGAAACATTTTGCATTAAAATATGAACAGAATACCCACAAAGAAATATTAAAACCAAATACTTCAATGTTTTGTTGTGCTGATTCTTATCCTTTGTCAAACATCTAATAAAATTGTCAACAAACCTCGATGCTATTAATACAGTGAATGAATGCACTCAACAGTTGCTTTCTCGGAAGCGCTCAGTCCAATAAGCACAACACAACATTCTCTCTTTCGCTTTCTTTCCGAGAGTTGGGAGCACGGTGGTGTCAGAGGCTGGTACAGAAAGTGCTAGTGAAGACTTGGCTTCTTCAAGCCACGCTCTCGGTGCTCAGCAACGGAGAATCAGAACAATTTTGTTCAGTGGAATTGGGCGAAAACCCAGGCTACGTTTGCTTTTTGGCCTTCATAATAAAAACATTTGCTGGCTGCACACCACAGCTTTACTGGAGTTTCTATGGTATTTTAAAACCTCTTTTAGCAATGCTGAGCAATGTTCTTAATTAAGTTATGTTGCTATGGTTTAAGGCCAGAAGTAAAAATTCAAATCAGTTTTTGCTGATATTGCTGCCTAAAAATACAGGGAAATAAGTAAAAAATATATAAATGAAACTGTAATAAACTTTAAATAAGTGACCTGAAGTTACTAACTAAAAGAACATGTCCTAGCTTAACTTTATTTTTTTTAAAGGCATATTTCTTCTTACAAAGTGATTGTTTCCATATGTCTTCCTTGCCTTAGTGCTATTTTGCAGTCAATGTTGTGATGTCATGGCTCAAACTTTCCATCTCAAGTTCACATTTAACTCGGCCGGCGCAGCCTGGAACCCTTTACGATGCCACCTTAGCAAGCTGCCCCAAGTACTGGAGCTGCTTTATTGAGCTATAAAAAAAAAAATACGGTAAACACCAAACTGAAGAAAAACAAACCGACCGACCACAAAGACTTCCAACATCCTGCATAGATCTAAACGCATCCTCCCGTTTCCACGCTTGCGAGAGCTGCCTGCCTGCACCTTCGGCGGGAGCTGGACCTGCTCAGCGCTCGGCGGGTGCTCCGCGTCTGGCCCCGCTGGCAGATGGCCCCTGCGGACCTCAGGGGAGGCTCGGCCTGAGTACGAGCGGCAGAAGTGGGCCCCTGTGTTGAAAGGTAAAGGTGAGGTTTTGAACCACGTGAGGTGGTCGCCTTTCTCCCCTGGCTGAGAGGTGAGGAACGGGGAGGATGCGCCGACAGAGAAGCGCTCAGCCGCTGCTAGTGCTCGCGCTCCCTGCTCGGGAGGGCAGGACAAAAGTGTATGTAGGATAAAAACAAGGGGCTAAACGGATTCGTTAAGGATTCTTTGAACTTGAAGTGAACTCAATGTATGAAAGTAATAAATAAAACACCTTTTTTTTTTTTCCTTTTTGTAAGACGTGGCTACATCAAGCTGAATGGAGCAAAAGGCCGGAGGAGACGCAATCAAAAATTCTCGCCTCTTTCAAACAACGTGGGAGATACAGTGAGTGTTCCACCCTACTTGCTTATTTTTGATCCTTTACTTTACAGAAATGTTTATGGCATGAAGTACTGTATAAGAAATGTGCATACACAAATACATGACAATTATACGTTAAGTTCTTTACAATATTAAATGTATAATATACAATTCTACAGATATCTTACATACAAAGGTGAATGTTGTGCCATATATTCAAATATGGCAATGCCTAGCAACTTTAGAATGTTGTACAAGTATAAAACCACAAAATAAAATAACTTTACAACTCTTTTAAAGTAGACAGGTTTGCTCAACTGTTCTGCTAAGTTAGCAGGCCAACACGTATCGGCAAAGATTTCCAGACGAGATTTCCAAGTTGGGTAACCAAGGTGAGAAAACCTGCAGAGGTCTGATTTTCCACAGACAGGTATCCAGCCCTTTTCCAAAAATTAGACCCCTGCCTAGATTGTACCTTGGATAGTCAGTACAGCTTATCGCTTTTGAAAATATTACTTAATTTTTTTTTAATTTATTTTGCCTGATTGTAATCATTTGGCATTAAAGAATTGTTGACCACTTAGTACTCTGTCCCTTGTTCTATATGGCCGTATTTATGCATCTAAAAAGAGTTTAATTAAAATTCAGCATCTACAACAGTATTCTATAAATTAATGTGGGAGAAACTAAATTGTGATTAACACATGAATTAGTTATTGAGGACCCAATCATGCTAAACAGCAACAAACAGGATTTAGCAGAATGCTATTTATAACCTTGCACCTGCAAACATGGTGCTGTCTCCTGAGTTAGGAAGCCCTGCAAGTCAGAGTCGATACCGATTCATGGAAGGAGCAGTAACCTCCTGCAGACAGCGGGCTTCGTTAAAGAGAAAATTACACAGATAGAGGGCAGCTACACAATCGGTATTTTAATAACAGTTTAAAATAATAGAGGAAAAACAATCTAAACAGAAGGTGGCCTGATTTCATCGGACAATGGCAGTAGAGGGTTTTAAGATCTTTTTGCAAAAATTCCAGACCCATAAAGAGTAGGCTTGTCCAAAATTCTTAACGATGCCTCCTAAGTGTGGGCTTATAACATGGTTAGTGAATCAGTAACGAGGGGCGGCAGAGCTTGCTTGGCAGAACCACGCTTCTTTGATGATGCAGAACTTAATGGTTTCCGAGTCAAAACAAGACTGGCTTTGAGAGAACTACAGCTCCACGTTAGGTATGTGACCCTTGTGTGATGCTGGATGGCATTTTCTTTTGTACTTCCAGATCCCTACTTTTGCAAATGTTGCCATAATTGGCCTTGTCAACTTTTTTATCGCTTTTTTGTTTTGTTTGTGTGGGGTTTTTTAGTACTGAGCACCAGTTGACTATAAATCGGTCCTTTCCTGATTCTGGATTCTGTCCACAGAGAGATATTTCAGTTGGAAATGTTGTATAAAAATAAGCCATTTGCTAGCATGAGTGAGTACAATCACAGAGGTGTAACGTAATGTATGGGGGTGTAAAGCACGTCTGATATGAAGGAGGTGCAGCAGTCAGGGAAGATACTCAGTGCAGTTTTTAGTGTACCATCTTCCTCTCGGAGGCGCCCACTTCCACGCGTCACAGGATCGGGGGATCGTTGGAAAGGCTGTCAGAACCGTTTCTCCTGCTGATCTATTCAAATTGCTTTAATTGGTCTTTCCGCAGAAGTCCAGTCTAGGGTCAGGGGTTTATGAAGCTTTGCCTTTTTCACCACCGCAGCTGCTCAGCCCAAAGTACGTTCCCAGCAGGCCCAGTACGCTGAGCGTGCTCAGGAATTTCATCGTGAAAAACGGACAACTGGTTTTGCAAATGCATTTCATGGCTGGCTATGTGACAGGTAGTTTCAGAATACCACTAATTGGCAACATAAAGTCAAAATCTGTTTGCTAATACTGTTTTGCAAATCCTTAAGTGTTTCACATAAGGGACTATTAAACACTTCTACGGTTACAAAGGAGTACGGGTAGGGTCTAGTCCAGGGGCTCCTGTTTTATTCTGATTGTTGGGGTAGGTTGTGGTCGTCTGTCTTCGCGACACAGCACGTATTCACTGAACTGAGAGGAATCCACCCCACCGCCGCACGAAGCTGCCACGTTAAATCCCTTCTGAAATAATCTTTCGAGCACCTGCAATGTGGGGGGAAAAAAATCAGATTAATATTTGGCAAATTTTAGTGATAGAAGCATTCAGGAGCACCGGATCTAAATGATGGATTTAGGCTTTTGAGTCCTTGTTGAATTAATATTATTCAGCTATAATTCTATAGCTTATTCTTAAATGACTACACTGTGATTAAAGTCTTGCTCTCAGCAAACCTCTGTAGAAAACAAAAATTAATCAAACAGATAAGCACTCTGCAGAGCAGATTAGTACATTATATAGTAAAATAGTGAACTGTGGTGATATTGATGCTATCTCTTACTGCTTATAGAAAGCAACATCGGGTTTAAGTCGTAATAAAAGTGTCCATTATTCATTAGTCGTATGAACAGTCTTACAGAAAGGGGCTGAAAACATTTCTCAGCTCTTCCTTGGCAGATGAAGATGTATCAGGGTCTGAGTGACACTTCCACCAGATCTTCATGGAAATCACAGCTGTGATTTTCCCTTGCTGGAAGGGAGCGCTGCTTTTAGCAAAGCGTGGCAGGGACGGGATGCGGAGCCAAGACGTGGGCAACAGGGAAACGTTCTGGCCCAAGAAAGAGGTTAATTTGTATTGCCCAAATACGTATTTTCTCTTTCTCCTTCTAAAGAAAAGTTGGTGCAATTTAGATGCATGAATTTAAGGAACCCAGAGGCAACTTTAATTTCTGAGACTGTCACACAGCACATTACCCTAGGATATACTGATTTTGGCAATATGATCGGGGCCGTGCTTTCACATGCGTGAGCATGTTGATATACGGTTTCCCAGCAGAGCAGGACGCACACAGACTTTTCTCAGCGTTAGGTGAGAGCAGATGCCAGATCCACCTTCAGCAGATCTACAATGCAAGATCCACCGGAGGAGATGCCGCGCTCCCACCGTGCCACTGGCGGCTCTCCCGAGTCCAGGGCAGCAGCCTGGAAAAATGTTCCCGGTGTTTTTCTCTACTGATAAATGCCATCAAGGGGAGCAGCCTGTACTGTTCCCTAACAGTCTCGCCCAAGGTCCCACTTCCATTGCTACAGCACACGGGCCCGCTGCGCTGGGAAGTGAACCCTGGTGATTTACTAAACCTGATCAACTTGGCAAAGCCAGCATCCCCATGGGACAGCTGTCTGCCACCCACAGCGACAGGGACTAGGCTGTTCAAAAACTTGTTCACTCAACCTAGAGAACTGCCTAAGCACTATACCCACCTTCAGACAGAGTCAACTCGTACACTTTCGCGGGTTTATGTTATAGAAAGAATTTTATTTCTTTCTTGGTTTTACTAGCCCTGTAAGCACTTCAGCAGTTACACCTACTGCAGTTGTACTTGAAAGTCTTACGTTTCAAGGCCCAAGCTGACTACGTTGGAGCTCTTCACACCAGACCACTGCCCTCGTGCACAGACCCAGGTGAGGCCACGGTACATTTCTTACAGCACCATTTTAGAAGGCATTTCTTCACAGAAGGGGTCATAAGGCATTGGAATGGGCTGCCCAGAGAGGTGGTGGAGTCACCACCCCTGGAGGTGTTTAAGAAAAGATTGGAGGTGGCACTTAGTGCCACGGTCTAGTTGTCTGACCTTTGCCCTAACAACGCCATGTCTCGATGATCCCAGGGGGCTCTTCCAACCAAACCGATTCTGTGATTTCTTTTGCCTGAATGTTGCCTTTGCTTTCTCCAGACACATCAGTTTGGAGCCTTTTACTAAGAGTAACCGATTTCAAAAGGACAACTGTATCCAAGGTGGTATTGCAGTGCAATGCAAACCATGGCAGCAGCATTTGCTGGTTTTAATCCGTGGGAACCCTCCTTTGAGGTCACCTGTGTTACCCATCTGCGTTTTAATCCATGGTTTGGATTTTTAGTGGTAACTAAAACCTTGTACTTGCTACCCTGGCTGCTAAGGACAGGCGAAGGAAAGGAGCTGCTCTAGCACAGCTTTGCCTAAGCCATGCCAAATCTGCTGGAAATCAACTTGCCTGAGGAGCTCTTGCCTGGCCTTGGGACATAGGGACTTATGTTCTCAGAAAGTCACATCTGCCAAATCTCACTGACTTTTGCCCTGATTTTTATATCCTTTATACTGTAAGAAAGTTGTAGAACGGAAAGACCAAAAAAGCACTCCGGAGTATGGACGAAAAATGAACCTGGAGAGAATAAAAGAAGGGGTGGGAGAGTGCATTATGAAAATATATGTAAAAGAGCGAGCGAGAGAGAAAGCTTACAACTCTCTTACTTGTCCGGGCTGTATGCAGCCCACAGGACAGAAACGGGGCACAGACACTAACATTTGTTCCTGCTCAAAGAGGAAGGCAGGAATTTGAGAGGGAAGGAGGAATAAGACCTCATCAGACTGCTGTTTCACAGGCTGGAGTGTATTCTGACTGTGTTATGTATCCCTGTTCCTAGACCTGGAAAGATGAAGATGAGGGGCAACCCAGTCACAGGAAAGGAGGCTTCTTCCGTTTAACTGGATAGCGGAACAGAGGATTGACAGGTGAGATTTCAGAGAGAGAGACAACTTCCAAATCCTTGCTAAAAACTTTTTAAAATCAATTTGCTTGTAAGACAAAAGAAGCACAGGGGTGCCCTTGGCTTGCCTCGGTCCAAAGCTGTGGAAGGCTGTGTGTTAACATAGGACTCTCCTTTACCGAGCCAGCTCTCTGCAAACACACAATCCAGGTAGACATTACACCTTAGAGCACCGCACGCAGAACAAAGCGATTCATTTTTGCTACCTACGCGCTCGGAGGACTAGACTGCAGGCTATCATCTAGTGTTAAAAACCTTGGTATCATCAATTTTCTCAGCAAGAAACAAAACAGGCCAAATCCCGTAAACAATGCAGAGAATGTTTAAATATTGCAGAGTTTTAAGCGTAACTTGGATGAGGTTGAGCTCAGATCTATGGAGAAAGGCTCCTAAAGGCTGCGTCCATGTGCGCTGAGCACTGGTGTGCACGCACCGGTGCACGCCAAAGACTAAGCGGCATGTTGAACATGAAGGGATTTAAATGCCATTTAGCGAATTTGGCTCTATGTGCATTACTTTTTGGGAAGGTAAGACACAGACAAAGGGAAACCAGTAAGCGTCTCTGAATCAAATCAGAGCTACTTTCCTGTAAATCTCCAAAGAAAAAATGCCAAAAAGTACGGGCATATCAGCTGTGATTCTCCCACATACAGAGACACACACACACACAATATTAAATAGAGGATTTGTGCTAGGATTTAATATACTCCATCGTCCAGTATTCCGAGCACAGCTGATTTTGTTGAAAGGTTTTCCAACTAGAAACATGATACTTTCACTTATTGCATTTCATTTAAATTTTGCAGAATACTAACGAATACATTCTTAATTATGAAGACTCAATGTTCAACATATACAAACATCACAGAATTTTCTCGAAGGTAAGTTTGTGTATCTCACCAGCACTTGTTGCAAAGAGTTGAAAAAACAGTGTCAGTCTGAAGAAAACTCTATACCTATATGTAATTACAAATGGCATTAAATTAAGAGTTACTTTATTTTTTTGGCTACCACTATCTAGTCAATGTTGGCATTCTTTGTTTTATATGCACAGTTCTTGACACAAGACATTGAATGAAAATATTTTCCAAAGATCCAAAAAATTTATAAATAATTGCAATTGTGCTGCCAAATATATTCAGCAGGGCAGAGGGAGACAAAAGTGATGTATATCAGCAAACAGCAGCCAGACTTACTGCATCACTCTGACATTCTTTGGAAACGATTCTGCTCTTCAACTACCGCCCCTCCTAACCAATCTCCCTCAAGTCTGTGCATTTGCTTCACTGTACTTCCAACTTCTGACTTAATACTGTTTTGCCAAAAAATCCTGGGAAGTGGACGGGCAGCGCTGATGCGCTGACTGGAGTCCATCAGAGCCAATGATAATTAGCTGCTGATTTCATCAGCCTTTGGTCTCAGAAATGCATAATTTTCCAGAAAGTGTTTGAAAACACTTTCTATTAATTATATAGTAAAATGATGTAATTTAGTAAAATGATGTAATTTAGTAAAATGATGTAATTTAATAATATTATTTATACTACAGACTCTTTCACAGAAATTTTTTTTTGCGAAGAGACTCTTTTGATTCTGTCTGAATTTTGACTGAATTCAAAACACATTCAAATAACAACAACAATTAGCATTCAGCTTTTACTACACGCACACGTTTCCTACCAGTAAAGCAGAGCCAAGTGCTAAGCCGTGTGGGCAGCCAGCGCTTTGACTGGCTGCTTGCAGTGCTGAGCCCGTCAGTGGCTCGCAGTGATCAGTTATTCTAATTTCTTCCATGCATCTAACTGTATCACATGGACAGCGTGGCTGAGACAGGAACACGCTTCCCTGTCCACTTACCTTAGCTAAACTGCAGCTGCTCCCTTCCCCACCCAGCACAGTGATGAACTCATCACTGTTCCCAATGCCAGCAAACGGATCTGCCTCCCACCCACCTCCAGCCTTCTATTTTTGGGGCAGCCCACTCTAAACCTTGCCAAATGTGAAATTGCTACGGACTGTGCAAGATTAACCATGGGTGTCAGACTGGTGAAGTTCAACCAAATAAAACACTTGGGAGTCGAACCAAAAATCACCAAAAAGTAGCCGGGTTTAGAATGGTTTTGGACAAAAGCATCTATTAGTGCACGGTGCACCAGGGAACGCTGCCCCAAGAAGGGAAGCGTCAGTGTCAAATCCAGGTTGTTAAAATGACTCCGTCCACCTTTACATATTCTGGTAACTGCAGGTCTCCCGAAAATGCTGTCAACTGCAGCCTGGGAGATGGAGGGTGCCTCAGCTTGCTGTGTAGTAACACCACAGGTAAGCAAGGGCTCTGGGTTCTTGCCCTGCCTTGCTATTACGCCTCCCTCCCCAACCTGTCTGGCCAGGCTGTCCCAGGGGCCAGCTCTTCTGTGGGCATTTGCCCACAGGGAAATTTATCAAGACCACTAAGGCACTTCCCACAGCCCAGTTAACATCTGCAGCCACAGCCTGTCTGCAGGGGACAGTAACTTTGGAAATATTCCCCCACAGGTTGATTGCATTTCCCATAATACAAGTATTTGCAGCATATTTTAAAGGCATACATGGAAAAACCAAGAGCTCTGTTTTGCCCTTGTTAATTAAGGCACAAGTTAACAGCATCATCAGCACCGTTCCTTCTCCGCAGCCCAAGGACAGCTACACCACCAAAGCTTTGGCCGCAGTGGCAGTGATCCCTTGTGAAATGGCATTTCTTGCCCATAAGGCTGCTGCCTAAACAAAAGCCACATATTTATTTCTGCTACCATCCACCTATCTGTCCAGTTACCTTCTTTTGTTTCATATGTTTAATTTTAAACCTAATGTCAAAACTCTGAGTATAAAACGAAATACATTTTGTTTAAAATACTCTGGGCAATTTTTATAGAACATCCTTTTGAAAAAAAAAAGTGCAGAGATCAATTTTTTTAAGTCCATCCCGCAGGCACCATCATTTAATTATGAGTGAGACATAAATTATGCATTTACACATTGTTGCATTTTCTATAAAATGGTGTGGAGATTTTTTTTTGTAGTTTTTGGAACTCTCTCTTTCTTCCTGGGGGCACTTTGGAGGAAAAAAAAACTGCTGCAGGCTATACATTGATGAAAAAATTAGCATTTATCAGTATAACACCATTATGAGACCAGCATGGCACTAACATACACAAAATCTGAATCTATTTTTCTGCTTAGACTTAGGAAAACCTGAAAGACTGTGATCTCACCACGCAGAAAATGTCTCCTTGCAGTATAAGCACTGAAGGTAATTGGGCAGAAGCAAATAATTTGCATATAATTCAACAAGAAATAATAAAAAAATACCCCAGCAAATAGATGAGCCAGCACCGAAAGGCCATTACCTGCACTGAATTCAACCGACAGTATCCGTTCAAAGGAAACCTAATAACGTGGGTAGGGTCCTGGTTCCAGCCTGCGTTTACGGAGTTGCACATGACGTCCCCCGTCTCCGGGAAGATCTCTTCTATTAAAGCTTTCTCCCCGCTCAATGCAATTCTTTCCCCCAGATCTGGAGTCACTCTTACGACCAAGCAGTCACAAGGCTGGAAATGTTTCCTTTGTTCTTTCTCTTGTTTCCATCGCTCAAGTTCCTTAATCATTGGCTGCAGCTGGTAATACTTTGCTTCTTCATATAAAAGATTAAAGTCCTGGGAAAAAAAAAGAAAAGAGAGGGAGAGAGAGAAACTAGAAATGCTTATAGTTCTCTTCTAAAAATGAGTATTGTTCATGTTTGACCTACTTAGGCTTATGTATTGTCAGCAAGAGTGCAAAGGCAACAGGTATCCACGTACTTTGTCTTCGTCTTACACCTACACAGAAAACCACACTGTGTTAGTGCTGAATCTATTTGAGCTGACCGTGAAGTTCCCATTGCACTGAATTATTCTTTCATTTATTATCCCACGAGCTCAATGCCAGAAGGCTTTACTTTTGGATTAAGAAATCAAAATAACTGGTTGCATTAAGCAAAGCCTGCTGATGTAAAAGAAGATGTCCTGAGCCCTAATCTTCACTCCTGCCGTCAGATATTCACTTCTGATCTTACAACAGAAGATCTCGGGCTTCGCTGTCACCTCTCACACACATGTTACGAGACAGAGATGTCAGTTCAGCTTCACTTCTCACCTGTCTTTGCTGAGTCTGAAATTCAGCTACAGCAGCTCAGCTGTTGCCTGCGTTTCATGATTATTCATGTATTTAAAGCGTACTTTGGAGCCTGGTAAATTAAACGGAGGTAGTGACCATCCCGCTGGCTGGGAGCTCAGCTGTGCACTCCCAACAACTTAAAAGAAACAGTTCTTCCCAGCCATTTGTCCATCACCTCACTTGGGCTTTGGGCAATTCAAATTCCCAATTTGATCCAATTCCCAGTTCATTGATTGAGATGTCTTCTGCACATCCTCATTAATACCTTTTCATCAGATTTCTGACGGATCTTCCCACCTCAGCTGAAACGCGTGAGAGCATGTTGAGGCAAAGGGTGTCAGCAGCCCCCGGCCCCGAGGAGGCAGCAGTGCCCACCAGACCAAGCCAGAGAAGAGAGGGAGGGGGAAGCACCCAGCGGGCAGTTTTCTTACACCGGCCCCACTGCCTCCTTCAGCCTCCTGAAGGGACGAGGAGCAAGAAGAGCACAGCACCAGCTCCCCTCTGCAAAGACCTGCCGTTTGCTTTCCTGGCTCTTACGTCTGTTTACGGATGGAAATGCTGCACCGCAGGTACGCTACATGACTTTTGTGGGGTATGCTGTAGGTCAACACCTGGACATAAAGGCCAGTTCTCCACCACTGCAATGAAATGAAATGAAAAATAACAAGGGTGAAATGACTGGAATCATTTGGACTGGAAAGAAGGGCACGACAAGAAGTAATCAAGAAATGGGCACCAAAATTACATGAAAAATAATGGCAGGGCTGCTGCTCCAGGACTCGGGGAAGAGGGGGAATCAAAGGCCAATGAACGTGCAGCACAAAAAGGTGGGACTCTTCACAGCGGTTCGGAATTAACCTGTAAAATCTGCTGCTGCAGGATATTATTGAACCAAAGCAGTTAGCTCTGTTCACATTTGGCACCACAGGCAGCCCACCGCCAGCAGGGGAGAGGTGCTCCTTCACCCCAGGGCTGCCTGCAGCCTGGAGATGTATGAATATTCACAGTGACACCGGCAAGGTTATCGCGTTACAAAAGGGACATCCGATCCTTTACATCTCTTTGATGTCTGTTAAGGCTGGGACAATACGCACACCACTAAGGGAGAAAAAAAGGACCCAGAGAAGGCGCAGAGAGGAAAGAGGGATAAGAGCAAGCGGGAAGAAATGAGGGCAACAAACACACTCATGGGAAGTAGCTGGAAGATGAAAAACAACAGGAGGATTAAAGAAGAAATCCGATAGAAGGCATGCTGCAAACAACCGGAGTTGGGAACGGGCCAGGCGAAGAGGCGTGGAGACTGCCTGCATCACCTGGTCTTGGGAAAGACAGCATCAGCCCAAAGCCTCGTCCCCTGATGGAAGGTATTTTCCCCCCTCCCCAAAATCAGCACTCGCTGCTGAGCCATTACTGCTTTTCTCTGTCTACCCATGCAGCTCCCTGGTTACTGAGCATGGGATCGGTTTAAACCTACAGGGATTAGTGGCCTAAATTAAAAAAACAACCTCTGCCCCAAACTTTCTGAAATCCTCATGCGGGACACTGGAGCAACACAGTCCACCACCTAACTGCATTCATTACCGAGGTGTGTGCAGGGGCCTATCAAACGTTCACTGGGCATCTGCTAGTCCCGTGTCTCTCTTTTCTGAGCAAAGGAAAACATGCAATGCTAAGGAAAAATGTCATGCTGTAGAGTGAACAGGAGCAGCCAGTGCTTACTGAAGGCAACGGAAAGTCTCCCGCTGTTTTCAGTAGGTCCTGAAAAACTAGTTTTAGAGTAGCTGTGTTCGTGGTCACTATAAAATAACGTATTATTTGTAAGGTCAATCAAGTGAATATGTCCTAAGAAAACTCAACAGTAAAACCTAGAAGAGATGGTACAGCGATATAAAACCCAGTCCTTCATTTCTGAGAGCAGAGAGAGATACAGTGCTCCCGAGACTGGATGCAAAGCCCATTACATTCATGAAGGTCTTTTTGACTGACTTCACTGGGCTTCGGACTAGGGCACCCCTGGGCCAAAACAGTAATGCCGTAACGCAAACAAAACCAGGATCACACCACCTCTACCCCCACCCCAGCCAGCTATTAGCCCACCGCATTAAATGCAGCTCTTTTGTGACTCCTGCTAGCCATCATTTGTCCTAAAATAACCAAGATAAATTTTATATTCTGATAACATTTTTTGATAAGACAACCAGTTTTCAAATGAAACAGCTCTTCCACCACTGTTCCCAGAACGATACAGCCACACTTCAGATGGCTGTGTGGAAATCGGGGCTGTGCTGGAGCATCGCATGCTCCATGGGACGAGGTGTGCACCTGGTCATAACTGCCTGGCGTAAGCCAAGGTGTTTGGGTTAGTTTCTAAAATAAGACTCTCATCTCCATGTCCATTCCACACTTGGGCTGAGCACAAATATGCTGGAGAGGGTTCTTTCTGCACCTGGAAGAAGGGGTTTGTAACAGAAGCTGGGAACCTGAGGCGTGCTGGTGCGAAGAGGCAACATGTACCTGTGGTGCTGGGGAGTCTGGACACCTGTTATCAGGCAGTGGCAACAAAGGGGATTTGTTGCGCTGTAACAAGTAGAGAGGATAAAAAAGTGTCTTCTGCTAGGCAAGAGAAAAGTCATTGCTGTCCACTAGTGACAGCGCTGGGAAGGGACGCCTCCCGTGACCCCCACCCCAGGTACTGCACGCTGCCCCGGAGCAGCCACCACCAGCACAGCCTGCCCCACCGCCCTGACCTGCTCGGGCCCCTGTAACGGGACATCTCGCCTTTCTGCACTGAGTGACCTGGGCACCGCTCAGGAATTTGGCGATACATTTAGGGAGGGAAGAGGATTCTGCAAAACCAGGAACAAAGAATGAATGGCTCCCAGCGTGGGGGTCCAGTTCTCTAAAGCCTGTGCTGGGGCAGGGGAATGGACTCAACACACCCCTAAGTACACAATCTTCTTGTTCAGGTTTTGTACACCGTTTGGAGTACTCTACATCTGCGACTGGACTGGAAGCGATGCCCAGCTCTGGATTGTCTACGCAGGATGCTCAGGATGCCCAGGTAATACTGCCTGAGGTATTTCCACCCTTGCACTGTAGATATAAAATCCTACCCTGAAGATTTGCAAAAGTTTAACGTGAAATAGGAAGTAGAAGAATTCAGCCCACAAAGAACCTCGCCAGGGAGGTGCCACAGGAGCTGCAAGAAAACCTTTCCATGCTGCTCGTTTTGATAAGTTACCAAAGGCGGATGCAGACATGAATCTTCCTAGACCTATCCAGAAGAAGCACATTTCACTGAAACAGGCACAGAAGTAGCTACGGGATGTTAAGTGCCTAGCACAGTGGCAAAGTGCACACAGTTCCATTGAAACTCAGCCCCAGAGCAGCCTGGCACACCTCCTGTGCCAGGCGTACGTTGATAAATGCATACGGATACTGCACCCTCTCTCTCACCAGCCCTGGTGTCAGTGCAGGGTTGCTGAGCATCCCGCAGCACATTTTGTATGGTATCCCGGAGTTCCTTGTCCTGCAGGACTCACGATGCATCCCCCATTTCTTCTAAGGATTATTTCCCTACCTTCCCAACCTCGTAACAGCAGTGTACCTTGTGGCAGCACAGCCCTGTGTATGGTAGCTAATGGAGCTGCTTGTGTTTAGCCAAGGAAAATCACTTTACTTGGAAGGTGATTCCCACCGGCCAAGGTCCCTGCTCATGAGCAGGGTGCTCCTTGCTGGACTGAAAGAGGACATAGGACAGTCCAGCCTCTGATTTTGATGTAAAGTACCACAAAAAGCCTTCATGAGCCTTCAGCTTCTTGTGGCTGTTGCAGGAACTAGTGGGGAAATTCGGTCAGGTCACCTGGAAAAGGGAGCAGATAGCCAGGTGGGCTGCATGCAGCCTTTCTCCATCCACAACTTCTGGATAACATTTAGATCTCATGGGAAAGGTAAAGAGATCTTTCAAAGACGCAGCTTTTTGCCTTTCACGAAATAATTTTCTGCTCGTGATTCAGTAGAAAAGCTTTTTTTCTGGTGGATTTCATGTTGGCTAAATGCCGCAGTCATGTCTGACAAGGGTGGCACCTTCCTGGGGAGGAGATGGGAAGTGTGACGGCAAGGCCGGGTGTGCTGCTGTTTCGCCATCAGTGCCAGTGGGTCAGTGAAGATCTGCTAACTACAGGCAGAGACAGCCAACAGAAACTGTAAAACCACGTCTCTCGTGAACCTGATGATGTTCTCTCAGCGCTAAAGAGATCCTTTATTTTTGTACCTAATCTTGACTCCTGGACAGCCTGAAATGGCTCTTTCTGCCCATTTTTCACTTTTTACTCTTTGTTACATGAAACAACAAACTTGTCATCCTGACTCAATGTTTCTTTTATATTTTAGTGCTGTGAAGATCTGTCTCCTGGCTACGAGAGAAAGTTGCTCACTTCTACGATGACAACTGTGCCATTTGCTAAGGTCAGTTTGAGAGCACTTAAAATTAGATGCAAGC